CACACACACACACACACACACACACACACACACACACACACACACTTCCCAATTATTTGTCTTTGAAAACCTACGAAATAAAAACAGTGGATTTGGGAGTGTCTGCTGTAAAAAAACGTTGTAGAAAGGTCTTATTTTCTTCATTATGTTATTATTTTCTTTATTATACTCTCTATATATTTCTATTTTCCATTTTCAAATTTCTTAGAACTGTAATTCAATAAGACTCCTGTTTTGATGCATATCTTGTTTGAAAGTTCTTGCAGTGCTTCTCAAACCAGTGGCTGCTCCTGTTCTCATGAGAAGCAGTCCAGTTGTTTCTGTTGGCTTTGGTTAGGTCTGGCTAAAATAACAGGTAGTCCAGTTATTTGGTTTGGTTCTGCTTTAGCTTGTTATGGGTTGGTACTTTTATTATTCTTTAATTCAGTTCATTTATTTTCTTGCATTAATTTAACAAAAACATAAATAAACCTGCTTTAAAATCAATGTGTCTCCTTTACGTCATGACCTCTTCAGCCAGGTAGTGACATGTGTATGTGTGTGTAGTTTAAGCATGTTCGTTATTCCATATTAATAATTTGTTTATGTTTCTCTATTATACATTTGTAAAATTAATTTCTGTGTAAATATTCAAATTGTTTATACATGCGTATATATTTTAGATCTTCTTCTATAATCATTTAAACATCATTTAAGTTTCTCTATAAATCAAAAACAAATAAACAAACGAATAATAAATGCGTAAATTGATGTGTTCAGCAAAAATATTTGTCATACATCACATCAGAATATTCTGTTATTTAACCTTACTGAGAATATTTAAATAAACTGAACCATGTGTCCTAACACATGCAGCAATAATAAACTTATGTGTAAAGTTTGTAGCAAAAATAAAATTAAAAAAGCCTGAAAATCAGTTTAGTACTCAGAGAGTTATGTTTGATTAAATGTGCTGATAATTCATTGTTCATGCCAAACTGATTACACTGAGTGGAGTGGGCGACCTTTCCAAGATGGCGGCCCCACGGCTCGTTAGCTCCAACATCAGTTCATGGCCTTTCTACTTTTTAGATGTCTATGTCACGTTGTGATGGAACAGAAACGGGAAAGCTTCAAAAATAATAGCTAGTTTCAAAATAAAAGCGCCAATATCCGGTTGTAATTTATTTATTTATTTTTTGCCTTTTATCATGAGGAAAGAGTCCCCTCAATAAACGTTTTATTTGCCATGCGCTCATCCTGACTGTCATCCTGTCTACTTCCTTAAATTCTGCTTTGAATTAAACAACTTACATACACAGTATACTGTATGTACG